TGAATTTATAGATGGTGTGGATAATGTAGGCAGATGCAAAGGAGGACAGGGCTCCTGCAACTTTAATTGCTGGGTGGAGGAGGGAATTTCTGCTGAAACTCTATTTTACAGAACTGGTAGAGGTGAAGGAGCTCCGCCCTCTTTAGCATCTGGCCACCCTAGTTGTGGTTGACTGACCTGCAAATCCATTTGTGAGGAAGCATTCTGCTATGTCGCAGGTCCCCTGAATTACTGGAGACCCCAGCATGCCCCAGGGAAGAGGGAGATGGGTTCCATTGCAGTGTGCCTGGGATCTGTCTTGCCTTGCTGCTCCCAGCTGGAACCTGGGTGGCATTGCCCCTAGAAGCCAATGAGGGGCTGTGGCTGGAGGCCTGGTTTGGACCAGAGTGAAGACTCTGCTTTGTCTGGTCCGACCACAGGAAATAAACAAAGGTATGCCCAGGAATATCCTCAGCCTCATTGCCAGCATCCCCACCCATCCCACCCTCTTTTGTAGTTGATTATTCATAATTTTTGGGAGTTCTTGGGATGACTTGTGCAGAATATGACTGTGCATATGGGTCAGTCTCTGGTTAACAATGACCTGTGAGGGTTTTGCCTTCCCCATTATATGGCTTCTTTTGTTACAACTTTGCTCTCTTTGGGGAGGCATTGGGCAGGGTCCATAGTCAGGTTAAGCAGGGGATGGGCACCCTGCTTCTTGCTGGAGGAGGGATTCCAAAGAGTCTTGGGGTGCTGCTTATCAGCTGTAGCCACGGCTCAGGGGGCTGTAGGGCCCCAGTGCCACCAAGTTGTCTGAGGGGGCTCTCACTAGATGGGTTCACAATGTGGCAAGCCCAAAACATCAGACCAACTTCCCATTGGAAGGCCAAGTAATTGGGCTAGGTTGGAGACATCAGCCACCATGGACTATTCAATGACAACACCCTTGCCCTATGCCATGCCAGATGGAGGGCTCTCTAACCAAAGCTGTGGCCTTTGTTAAACCTATCCAAATTTCTGAGCAGTTTATTGCTCTAGGACCCTATGCCTTAGCTGTACATGGGCTCACATACAGTATATCCTTGCTGAACAACTGCTGTATACATAGCATTTTATGCCCCTGGTAGAAATGTGGTTTATTTTCCAGATCTTGTGATAAAATATGTTCAGCATTATAGGTGCTGGGTTATTACAGAAGTATTTTAACACAACCAAAGAGCTAAAAGATTAGCACAATGACTATTTCCTAAAATAGCCTTAATCCACAATTTATAAACTGCAGATGAAAGATCTGCACCCACCAAATGTACATATATATCTGTTGCCTAGTGCTTCTGCTGCTGCATGCCAACTTATAAGGCAATTATGCAGAGGTGAACCACTTTAGACAAATAGGAGCTGAATGGTTATGATGAGGATGTGCACAGAGATGTATAGCTTGGCAATGTGTATTACTATGCATAGGGATAAATTGCTTCCTTTCAGTGGTAATTACTTTAACCTGGATTGGCTGCGGCTGTTTTGACTCCCTCTTGGCAATATTTGTTCTGCTCCCGACTCAGAGGCTCTAGTGCAACAAATTCCACTATATCTTTTTTTGTACAGTATACACTTTCTGACATCAAACAATAAACACAAGACTAGAAGACTCTGTAGGGTTTCATCTGTATTTTTTAAGGAGAAGCAAACAGATTGCAGCAGGGCTCTGCTGCAGATACTTAACAACAGCTGCTGATGTGTAAAAATGCTAATGAGCTCTAGCAGCACCTGTGGTACAGTCAATATATCTAGCTTCAGCTATAGGTCTTGCATTTGGGCAGCAAGCACGTTTCTAGCAAGCCAAAAGCCTGGTGTAAAGAAGCTTTCTTAATTTTATACCACAGCAAACTGTGGTGAGATTGGGGCAGGGACCTTTTTAGTATCCTCCAGCTTTGGACATGATAAATAATATTTAGGCCTAGCTATCATTAAAACAGTAAATCTGTGGCTTGACCATATCACTTCAGGCTGCAGACTGGGGTTTGCACAGCTTCGTAAATTGCTTAGAGGTTCTGTTAATCAAGCAGCATATATTTTTTCCTAAATATATCTCAGTGTTCCTCCATATGCTCCCCTCACCGGAAATAAGAGTAAAATCTCTGAACATGGAAACTAGACATTAATGAAAAGGCTAAACTAGAACCCTTCTGTTTGATGTGCTAATGAGAAACAAGATGATACAGTAGCTAGAGAGCTTGACTTAAGTAAGGGAGACCTGGGTTCAAATTCCTACTTGGTCATGAGGCTCACTGAATGAGTCAGTCACCAGCTCTCTGCCTCCCCTACGCCTTGGTGTGTCCAAATGTGTTATTTTACATATAAACTGGCTTATGTAGAATGCAAAGAAGCATTTCAGGCAGAAGATAGTATATGTCATATTGGAAGATTAGCAAGTAAATGAACCTTGATGTTGTGGCTGATGTTACTAGATATGGGGATAGAGTTGGTTTCTGGGTTTGTTGCAGAGTTTGATGCTTGTGTTTGTGTGGCTCTTACATGTCCTGTTGTTGGTGAGGGGACTGTCTGAAAACAAGGAGGGGCCTACTATTCTAAGACCTAAAAAAAGGAAGTATCCAAGATGGGACCATAGATCACTGATGCACAATGTTGGAGTGGCTTTGGAGTTGTAGGCTAGATGAGTGCTTCTATTGGACCATAACAGCATAGCATTTATTCTTCTTTTAAACAAATAGTAAGAAGACTTTTGAATAGTGCCTGCATTGTGGGCATGAGTATGCCATTGTTCACTGCTGATGACTGGTACCATGACATTCTCATGACCTCTGCCTCTATGATACTCACAATTCCAGCAAGAGCAAATTGTGGCTTGCGTGCAGGAAGTTGTAATGTGCTTTGGATTCTTCTTGCAACAGAAATATTTTGGGAAAACGTATTTGGATTCTCTGTAACAAATGGGTAGCAACTGCACTTTCCTTGCACAATAAATTGCTTGGAAAGTTCATCTTAAATTGTGGTGCCCAGAACTGGACACAGTATTTCAGGTGTGGTCTGACCAAGGCAGAATAGAATGGTACTATTACTTCCCTTCATCTGGACACTATACTTCTGTTGATGCAGCCTAGAATAGCATTAGATCTTTTTTTGCTGCTGCATCACACTGTTGACTCGTGTTAAGCTTGTGGTCCACCAAGACCCCTGGATCCTTTTCACATGTACTGCTAGTATGCCAGGTGTCCCCCATCACGCTGAATCACTTTGCTTTATTTTTTACCTTTATATATTCCCCATTCAACAAAAGTCCTCCGAGTGGCTCACAGTTTGTAAAGTACGTTTTATGAAGTATTCATAAGAGGCAGTGAAATGAGTGTAACCTTATATATAGTTTATCTCCATCTGTTGCCTCTGCTTTAAAATATGTGTTGGTGTGTGTTTTCTTAGCTTCATCTGTGTTTGATGAAGCTCAAGTTTGGTTCGCAAAGATATAATTAGCCCACTGCATAGCAATATGATTGCAACGCAAAGCAGTCTTTCTGCAGCACATTCCTATTACCCTTGCTAAGTGAAGCATGAGAATGAAGCAGAGCAAATGACACCATCAGCTTCACTAGATAATTGCGAACCCCAACCTCATGCTTGGCAAAAAGCTTATCCACATTTAAAAGTTAACATGACTCCCATGCAGAATGAAATTACCTGCCTGCTTGTGTAGAAGAATGCTCCTCATCATGCTGGTCATAACGTTTTATGGTGCTCTTTGCCATTATATTTAACCATATCGCAATATTGTATTATGGAACAAAATTAATAGCCTTAACTCTTATGTGTATTTAGTTTACTCAGAAGGTGTTCCAGGGTCCTAATTCTCAGAGAGGTATGCTTAAAACTGCAGTCTTAGGACATAGTGGCACTTATTTCTGAGTAATCATGCATAGGATTCAGGGCCAGCCCAGGAAGCTTTTGGGTGGGGTAAAACAGAAAAGGCCACCCCTGCCTCCTCCTCCTCCTCTGCCTGCCAGCAGCCACGTACCCACTGCCATCCTGCTGCCACCTGGTGGTGGGTACATGGCAGATGGGCATGCAGCAGCGGGTGTATGGCGGAATAAGAGGTGGCCCACAAGTACAGGAGGCAGATCTGCCACCCCTTGCAGCTGTCCAGAGCCTGCCCCCTTGAGGCCACTGTCTCATCTCACCTCGTGGGCAGACGGGCCCTGATAGGATTTGCTCTGCAACAAGTGAAAAAGCTCTGTCATGGAAAAGAGGCATTTAACTGCAACTACTGGTAGCCTTTGAGTCCAACAGATGGGAATATGGAGAGGGAGAGAGAGAGAGAGAGAGAGAGAGAGAGAGAGAGAGAGAGAGAGAGAGAATGGTTAAATCTGTGGTGTTATATTAGTTAATAAGTACATTTAGGGAAGAAAAATCAACGAGACAGATTAAGCTAAATAGTTATTTGTAAAGATAAATGGAACATGAAAGGAGGGCTTGGTCATTACTGATGGGCACCTTGTCACACAGAATAACTTTGAAATCCAAAATGTATTTCTTGCATATTGATGATGCAGGCAAACTCTCTCCAGATGACTCCTGATGCAGGAGAGAAGGAATGCAATCTTAAAATAATAATATATCACCCAGATTTTTACATAAAGCTATGGCACACCAAGTCCTTCTGTAGCACAAGCTCAGTAGTAGAAATAAATGAGGCTGTCAGGTTAACGTAGTTGCGTTTGATGTAGTGTGTGTGTGTGTGCGCGCGCATGCATGTGCACACACTTATGAGCATAACCCCTCCATCTTATCAATTATATGCTAAAACACCTGGATTGATTCTAGGCCATCTGCTTCAGCTATTTATGCAGATCCTAGGGCACTAAGAGCATAGTCTGTGACTGTAGCTATACACTACATACCCAGATTCCCAGGTCAAATCTCAGAATATCACAGTCATAGAATTATAGCCATAGAGTTGGAAGGGACCATGAGGGTCATTTAGTCCAACCCTTCAATGCAGGACTCTTTTCTCAAAATGGTGTTTGAACCCACAACTCTTGAGATTAAGCCTCATGCTTTACCAACTGAGCTACTCCAGAGTCTTGGACTTTTAACTGCACTCAACCAACACCCTTTTCCTCTTGGATGACAAGAGCTGAGCATCTCCTACCAAAGATCAGTTTGTGAAAATACTTACTTTCTCTGTTCCAGCTCATCAGTGATGGTGGTGTGGTCTACGCCGAAGCACTCTGGGATCATGTCACCATGGATGACCAAGAGCTGGGCTTCAAGGCTGGTGATGTCATTGAAGTAATGGATGCAACTAACAAAGAATGGTGGTGGGGCAGAATAATGGACAGCGAGGGCTGGTTCCCAGCCAGCTTCGTACGGGTAAGAACTATTCACTGTTTTTAAAAATTCATTCATTAACAGCAAACTCTTTCAAGAAAGGGGGCATTTTGAGAAGAGAAGCACGTTTCCTGTAGCTTCAGTAACTTCTAGCAGTTGACACATTTTTAATATGATTTAGTGATCAGTAGCAGCCACTGGGTATGTGGACAGATGGGAATTTTTTGCTACCTTAAATTTGAGCTCCTCCACCCTTCCATTTGTCCCATGTTTTCTTCTGCTTGTCCTATACTTTCTAGGCACAGGTCCAAGAGGTTTTTCTTTTGTCCCACTGCTTTCCCCAGGAAAACCCACTGTTTGCTGCTGAATTCGCTTTTGGGTGCTTGGTTGTGGATTTTTTGTGGGAATTGTATTTTTATGTTTTATTATTATTGAATCTGTATCTTAAATAGTTGTTCTGTAAGTAGCCTTGGGAGATGGAACAGAATTTACGGCCAGATTCATATTCCAAGTCTAGGAGTCACAAACTAGTTGGAACACTTGCAGTAAGCTCCGCCTTCCAGAATGTTCTTCTCCCATATTTTGTCCTAAGCAATAAGTTGTTGTCCTGCCTTTGCTTCTATATGATGGGAATATTCCTGTTTTGAAACAGCTGCGAGTGAACCAGGATGAACCGATGGAAGACTATCCTTTGAAGTTAGAAGATGGCAGGGAGGAAGACTCAAGAAATGCTGCCCACCGTTATGGAGTGGGGCAAACAACTAAGGACCAAATGAGAACCAATGTTATCAATGAAATCCTAAGCACAGAAAGAGATTACATCAAGCACCTGAAGGACATATGTGAGGTAACAAGTCACACAGATAAAAGAAGTTCAGAAGCTAAATTTTAGAAATATGTTTGAAATATGGAACTCTATAGGAGTTCCTTGAAAACCTTGATTTCATCGAGTTAAACACGACATGGTTGCTCTAAACGTGGTGTCCTCTATATGTTGTTGGATGACAACTCCCTCCATCCCTAGACATTGGACGTGGTGATGAGAGTTGAGTCCAACATCTGGATAGCACCAGCCTTAGGAAGGTGATCTACTTCAGTGGAAATGGTTTTGATCAGACTCGAGCAGCAAGTTCCTTCAAAAGGTCCATATAGCATTCCTAACAACTGTAGTCTTTTATTCTACTATTGAATCATATATTTTTCCACTTACAACATTAGACCATATTGTCCAGCATAACCTTTGGTCACAGAGGAGAAAGTGAAGTGTCACTAAAATGCACACATTTGCCTTTTGACTTGGGTGTCACAAGACATTAAGTTTTAGCAGCTTCTAGGAAAATCATAAAATGCAAATGGAGCATTTTTGTACATCTTTCTGAGTTCCTAAAAATTGTAGAGTGTTTCTTCTGCATGTCACCCCAGAAGCAGCTTAGCTTTACTTCACTGGAGAATTCTGCAATGTCTGCCTCTACTGCTGCGTTTCAACGTAGAGGCATTATCCTTTGCACTGGTTGCCTGAATATTGCATGCAGACATCAGAAGTATTTTTGTTTCTGCAGTAATCATCATTTTCATGGCAGGTCCATAATCTCTGAGGTGCTTTAGCACCATCAGATTGCTCCATCAAGCTGTTAAACGTATTGGCAAGGATGAGTTGGGCTGCAGTTCTCTTTGGTTTTGTTTCCCAAGAAACCTGAATCATAAAACAGTACTTGTTTACAGGGCTATATAAAACAATGCCGTAAAAGAGCAGACATGTTCACAGAGGAGCAGCTGAAGACAATCTTTGGGAATATTGAAGACATCTACAAGTGCCAGAAAAAATTTGTTAAAGCACTGGAGAAGAAATTCAACAAAGATTACCCACACCTCAGTGAGGTGGGCTGCTGCTTCTTAGAATATGTAAGTTGACAGCTGAATTATGTGGGAAAGTATTGACATTATTCCTGTTGTTGTGATTACAGAGATGGTGATTACATTTGAACATTAGGCTTGGGAAAGGGAGGGAATTGAGGGAGGGAAGAGGGTCTAGGATTAGAGTTTACTTGGACATGTTTTGTTTATTAGATTGCTACACCACCCTTAGAACAATAGTTACTACCTTAGTTGGACAACCGGATCAGTGCTTAGTTGTCCCTGGCAGATCTAATTTTGACTTTATCTCTTATCTCTCTCTTTTTAAACTGATCTCTTTTTCCACAATTTAATCTCACTACAGGGCTTCTTTTGTTCTGTTTCATGTGCCTCTTCTGCCTATAGCCAGCCTCTGGATATTTCACTTCCATTTAGTTATTGCCTCCCTCCTCTTTTTTTGTGCTTTTAAAAGACCATCTTGTTCCCCGTGTTCTTCCTTCCTTCACCTGTTCTGTTTGTGATCTTTGAAGCAGGGATCCTTTCTATCATTGTTTTTTCAAGTAAAAAGCTATATTTTTATAGATCAGAAATGTAATAGTATAAATGTTGACTTATATGAAATGTGACTGAATCAGATCTGGGATGTGGCACTAATGGATGAAATCACTGAAAAAACTAGGTGAATGAAGAATAAAGAAAGAGACACTTTCCAATAAGTGTCTCTTTGACCTTATTGCATACGCATATACAAAAGAGCATGCCTGCCGACCACCAGCAATTCACAGCAAATCATGGACTTCTCTCTACCATCCCTTAGTAGGCTGACTTTCAAACTATTTGTTGGCATCCATTTGTCTTGAGAGACAATGGAGTGTGCCTCCGGGGGTGAAGTCAAACGGTAGCGTTTGCAGCACCTAAGTGACCTCCCTGGGGTATAAGCCTTGTCATACGTATGGAGGTCCTGGGCTACCCAGGCGACAAAGACCCCCTTCTCGGCCTCGCTAATGTTGTCCAAAGCAAAGCAGAGCAATCCATTTGGCCCCAGCTGGGCTGCAGGAGTTGCCGGAAGGAGAGGTACAAGGCACCACCCAACTATCTTGGGGACTCCTTTCTGGATTTGTGTAGGGCTTAAGCCTTAGCCTTTTCTTCTCCTGAAGATACCCCACAAGGCAGCGGAGGTTTAGGATCAAAGTTTTTCTTCTCCTAAATTGGCTACCTTCCCAGGTCAGCGAGCCCCACCTCCTCTTTCAAACTACAGTTTTTTTCTGTTTCTCTTGTATGAATCTGTTCTTCCATGGGAGGATGGGGGGAGAATTTATTGAATTTGATTGTTCTGTATAACACCCATGAAAGATAAACAAACAGTTAAAATAATAAATGTACTACTACTGGTAGTATTAGTAGTAGTAATAATATATATTTTTGCTTCCAATTTAGCAAAACGAGTTCCAGATCTATTCTGAGTACTGCAATAACCACCCCAATGCCTGCATGGAGCTTTCCCGACTCACCAAAGTGAGCAAGTATGTTTATTTCTTCGAAGCATGTCGCCTGCTTCAGAAGATGATCGACATCTCTCTGGATGGCTTCCTCCTGACTCCCGTGCAGAAAATTTGCAAGTACCCCCTGCAGCTTGCAGAACTGCTGAAATATACCAACCCACAACACAGGTACGGAGGATTACAAAGGGGCAGGGAGGATACATATCCTGTCTCAGATGCAGCCGTCTTAGTTTGTTCCTTCTTTTGATACTTGTAAAAATTAGCTGGTAGTAACATGAGCAGGCCTTTCTTTATGGTTGTGTCTAGGTCCCATTTTGTTTTTGTGACCTTCCAGTGATCAAAGAGGCTTTTTCTCTGGAACGTGCAAATGGTCAAAGTTTCTGCAGCTAATGCCCATCCAGGGGATGGCGGTTTTGCTGATGCAGCAAAGCTTAAGCAGTTCTGATGCTGGTTATGGAAGCTGCTTCCTCCAGATACTGAGGATGTCCCTGTAATTCCTACTGCTGGTGCCCTGAACAGCAAGTAAAGTACAAGAAAGGGCAGCGATGTATGTTGTGTGGCGTATAATGTGAGGGGGGAGAATTCCAAGTGGACACCACTCCAGGTCCTGTACAGAGAAGCACGGGAGTGCAATCACAGCAGTTGCTAGCTTCACAGTTATTTATACTGCTGAAGTGTTTCGCAGGCATCAGCAAACCAAGTCACAAGTTGTAACTCTTCTATATTATCTCCGCACCGCAGATAGGGAAACTATTAAAGCTCGAGCAATTACATCAGATGTACTTCAAGTCAGGGGTAGAGCTCCTGGCTGTTCTTTTTTCTTTAACCCCACAATTTGCTTGCTAGTTTCTTATGCTTTGGGGGAGAGGGCCATTCCTTTTGCATTGTGGCTGCTTTGTGTTGACATCTCTAATGGAATCCATTTAAAACCTAGGGATTTTAAGGACGTCGAAGCCGCTTTGAATGCCATGAAGAACGTAGCACGACTCATCAATGAGAGGAAGAGGCGTTTGGAAAACATAGACAAAATTGCTCAGTGGCAAAGTTCAATAGAGGACTGGGAGGTAAAGAAATATTCTTACGGCTTCTCCACTGGGGAAGATTATTCTTTATTACAAACATGCACAAAAACCACAAGGCTGCACTGAGAATCTGCCTCCTGTGTATCTTGCCCATTTACCTTGACTTGGTCAAGGCTTCAGATCCCCATGTGCCATGAAGGCGTCCTCGTGCAACACATCCACCGGTCCCTTTTACTGATCCCATTAGCTCTTGTTCCAGAGCAGTGGATTATCAGATCAAGTCATAAGCTAGCCAGATGAATTTTAATATCTTCCTAGATTTAATTCATCACACTTGCAAATTATGGAAGTTAGAATAAACATTTTTATTAG